GCTTGGAAACAAATTTTATTGCGCAGAGGGCAATCGAGCATGTCGTGGTACGGCAAACAAAAAAAATATATTTTTAGCGTGGACGAACCATCGTATGAACGACGTTTGAAAGTCAAAACTTGTTTCGTTAGATCAAATGCCAGCTATAGACGATTATTGGAACAAAATATGTTTAACGGTACACAATACTATTACTTTGCAACATCGTTGTCATAATTCATAATTCAGAAAACAATGCAAGACAAAAATGCGGACACAATGACTTCGAAAAAACAGATAAGGGTGGTTTGTTTAGGCATTAATATGGCGTAATTTTCGCTGGACATGAGGGACTTAGTTTATTATGACATCGTCCCCAAACTGGAGCAGGAGGGAAATAATTTTACAATGCCATAAAAATTAAACAGAGAAAAATACAGTACAGTATATGGGACACGATTGAACCGGAAATAAACAAATTCAGCGTACGTACTCGTCACGCGCATCGGTTCAATCATCTAGCATCCGCCCACGTGACCATGACGTCATGTTCCCACGCCCACGCCCCCCTTCCCACGCCCACGGCCCCATTATTTCGGCCCCAAATTTAGGGGACCTGACAATCATGAGTTGAGTCATTCGCCAGAGGCAACGTTCAGTTGCGGAACTCCGCCCCCCTCGCCTTTTTCCCCCTTTTCCGCGGATATTATAAAAATGTCCTTTCTCCTAGCTGGATTCCAACTCAGAGAGTCGGGATTACTAGGCGAGCACGATACCAACTAAAACTAATACCAACTAAAAAAAAAAACGTGACACGAGTTGTTTGACAAATAAATAGGACAGCCCAAACCCTCCGTGACGTACCCTGTGAAAGAGGATGTCTCGCCTCATGCGTTCCCAATTAGATCCCCAGATGAACACAGCAGAAGCACGGTGAAACTTCCGAACATTAACGCGGTCACAATGCATGACTCGCAATACATACCAAATCTTCGAGAAAAAAAAAAGAATATTGCGAACTGTCGCTCTCGCAAAGATGGACAGATCACGATGCTTCCAACGAGAAGCGCGGCTGTCCAGGTCGGTGGTGACCCCCGACCAAAAGGTTTTGCTCTCGCCGCACGAATGTAAAGGCACAACAAAGTATGCGCGGGGACCGCGGTCCCCGCTAACGGCCTCGTACTTCGTAGGCGATGTGGCCTATGCGCCGCGCCGAGAACCGCGGCACATGTCCCAGTTCATAGCTGCGCCGGTAGCGTCACAAAAAATTTTACCAAAGCAACCACGGCACTGACACTTCGCTTATCACTGGAAAATACTGCAATATCGTCTGCGTAACTCATAACTTTTATGTCGGCTTTTCCCAGCGGAACGCCCTGACAATCCTTACTGTTCAAAACACTTGGGGAAAAAACGCTCCAAATACAAATTAAATAAAAGCGGCGACATAGGGCATCCTTGCCTTATGGACGTTCGCACATGAATCTGCTCAGTCACTTCTTTGTTTACGATGAGCCTTGTGGTGCAATCTTTGTAGGCCATTTTGGCACCTTCCAAAATGACCTCACCCACGTTTACAAGTTTTAAAACATCAAAAAGGACGTCATGCTTGACAAGATCGAACGCCTTATCTAGATCTATTTGGAGCATGTCTACTTGGCCCATGCCCCCATCACACGCTTCTAACACGCTGCGCGCTACATATACAGGCAAGTGACGTCATGCTAGGGAAGAACGGGGTCACGCACCATACTGGTGGTTGACTTCACGCCGCGCGGATGCGCAGCGCGGATGCGTAGGATGCCGCTAAGTGCCCGGACATGCGCTGACATGCACCATAGTTTCAACAAAGGTACCAGTTATGTTACATGTGACCTTGGAAAAACGTGCCGAGCTTACGATGATGACGTAGCCAGTACGTGAAGAATTTTCCGGCATTGGGGCGATCGCGCTACGAGCAGAAAGTTTCGATATGCCTCCCGACGCAGTTTTAAAACATAAAAACTGTCGTGTCGCAAAAAAAAAAAGAAGAAAAGCTGAATTGCGTGTTTCGACATTTGACGAGCGCCTCTAGGAGTCGCTTGTAGAAAAATTGTTACGATTTTGCGAAATACTGGTAAACAATGCAAGGCTACCGTCAAAATCTAAACCCTGAGACAAGGACAAATCAAATAATAGAGGGTTTATATTATGATCTTTCCTAACCGGCTCGCCTGCATACTTTCGCTTCTTGCTAAAATTACCGTTCTTGCGGATGGCCCAAACCGATGCCTCGCGGCGGCGTCTCTGCGAGCTTGCACACGGGGGCCGCCGCCGACCGATCGCCGTCTGGCCGGGCTCGCTTCGCGACAATCGCCCGTACTCGGCCCGGGAGCCCCAAAGGTGCGCTTGATTCGTGGAAACGGCGTTGTGTAACGAAATACAAAGGCCATCTACACCACGAACGGGCAACAGCCGATGCAAAGGCGTGCGTGAACGTAAACAACGGTAGAAAAGTGCCGTCGCTCGCCGTTACGAAATGCGTCCCGCATACTCGGTAATGGCTGCATCCCCATCCTGCCGCTCGTACTTTCGCTAACTTCACGGCTACTCTGTCCCGCGGGGCTTGCCGACGAAACGATCGGACGGTCGTCAGGATAACCAGTAATTACTACAGTCGAGCGCGGCGCAATTAACCATTGCTCTCGCTGCTAAGGGCCATCGAGTCAACCACCAGCATGGTGGATATCGGTGTTCGACGTCATCATGTGACGTAGGTGCAAGGCATGTATACATTCGTTATGATAGTTTGGCTTGGATCCCACATGTCTGGTGTTCCCCGGTAAGCTTACAAGCAACACTTTGAAATCGTCGCGCTAAAAGTTTTGCAAACACTTTGTAATCAACGTTACAAAGGGTGATCGGGCGGTAACCCGTGATTTGACGTAGTTTCGCGACATTGTCACTGTTCGGAATGAAAACAGCATACGTGCGCGTATAAGGCGGTGGTAACACTTTCCGTTCATACACTTCACTAAAAACTTCCAACAACCCACTGGCGAGTACGCCCTTGAACTTTTTGAAGAACTCGGCACATATTCCATCGGGTCCCGGCGTTTTCGAGGTTGGCAGGTCGTCTATTGCCCATTCAACCTCCTGAATAGAGATCGGCAGCGACAGGTTTTCCGTCTCCTCTTCCGCTAACTGCGGCAGCGACTTTAGAAGCTTCCGAGGGGTCCCCTCTTCCCTGAACGTTCGTCTCAAAGAGACGCTTATAGTGCGCAAAAAATGCCTGCTGAACGCTGTTTGAGCTCATGCCCTTAACACCGCTGACATCGATTTCAGCTATCTCGTTTCGTAGGGCGTATCGCTTCTCGTCCGCTAAGGCCCGTTTCGTTGGCTGCTCGCCTAGGAGGTATTTCTCCGCACGCGCTTGAATCACGGCGCCGCGATAACGTTCTTGGCAAAGCTGTTCTAGCCGCTCCTTAAAGGGGCAGTGACACATCAAAATCATATTTTTTTTTATTATCCGAAACGGTCGAAAACGATGCCGGGACATTACCCTCAAAATTTGAAATTTGGGAATTCAGTATTCGTGAAGTAAAAAAACAATTTCCAAATGCCGAATTCGAAGTTCCCGCGCGATCGGCGCCGGTGCCTTGACGTCAAAAATTGCGGAGACCTGAGAGTCCCCTTTCCTGTCACCACTCCCTGCTGTTGCCATGGCGACCCAAAGCGAGGAGGAAAGGAGCGAGCGCCGGCTAGCGCCGGCGTTGCGGCGGACCGGTTTTGAGCGGTGTCGCCTGTTTTCCGTTGGAGGATACAAATCCAATAGACGGCACCACAACGAACTCCCGATTTTTGGTATTTCAAAAAGAAGGGCCGTAGTGCGTTCGCAATTGCGTTAAAAAACATGTTTTAGGATAGCCGTCATTAAATGTTATAAAGATGCCGCCTACAAAGCTTCTAAATTTCCTGATTTTTGACGTCACCGATCAAAAGAAGCGAGGAGGCGAGAAGCGGGAAAATCAAACGCCAAAAATAAAAAGGCGCGCGCGCGCGCGGGAAAATTTTTTTTCGCGATGCGGTTTTTTTTTGCGTGTCTATGGCTGCAACTTGCATCGTTTTAGACAATAAAAATAAATACGACCTTTGGGGTGTCAGTGCCCCTTTAACGCTTTCTAGACCCGTCAAACACACGCTGGGATTTACACACTCCGATCGAGAGAGTGCCTGCACGGCGTTTAAACTTTGTTCGGCGCAACGCGCTTAGTAGGTCAAAACAGACAACCTCTCTATCGCCAGCATCTTGATTTCCAGCTTTGCGATCTTCCACGCCTCAAAAATAGCCCCTCCCACATTTTCAAAACACGATTTGAAAATGTTGTTTGCACCCTTAAGAAAAGATTCGTCGTCGAGCAGCAGGTGTTTAGCTTCCAAAGTTTCCACTTGAATTTCGCCTACGGCTGTGCTTTGTCGCCGATCCTTGTCGCAACCAAGCCATGGTCGGAAAAAAAGACTGGTGTAACACGATACTTGGTTAACAATGCTGCCACAGAGGCCGAGATGTAGATTCTATCTAATCCGACGTGGGGGGACGCTTGGAAGTGGGTGAAACGCATCTCACGTGCTTCGTTTCTAACGATTCCTGCGTCTCCCAGCTTAAAATTTTCGAGCAGCTCGCCTAAAATCGTCGCACTTCTATCGATGCGCTGTACAGACGGAGCTCTGTCTGTCCTTCGAACAACGCAATTAAAGTCCCCACACAACACGACTGTTCTGTCACAATCAACAATACGGCGCAAGCCAGAAAGAAAGGAAACTCGGTCTTTTACCGTATACTGTGGGCGTATACATAGATAAGCCGCCAGTGAACTGCTATGCGAACAAAAAATCACACATAACAAAACGACCTTCGGTGTCGACGGTCACACTTAGCTCAGAGAAGGGAAACGATCTCTTCAAAAACAAAGAACAACTACCCAAACACCGACAGCGTGTGTGACACAAACTTCATAAGAAGATAAAAAAAAAGACTTTAGTGCGTTTGCAACCTGCTCTTTATCGGCCATTATCGGCCATCTTGGTTTCCTGCATCGCTAAGAAATCGGGTTTCTGACTTTCCAACAAACGTTGTACTTGGTATTGTTTCTTACGCATGTTGAAACCTCAAACATTTAATGATGCGACCTGATAGCCGGGTCGAGTGTACAATTCATAAAGGGTTATGATGGTACGCTTGCCTCGAAAATCGCGAGTGAGTTCATAGACCAGGCGTTAACGCCTTACTGGTCGTCGTTGCGTCACCTCTCGTCCGAGGGGGCGCCCGGTACTTGCTTGTACTGGCCTCGCTTGCTCGCATCAGACCACGTGATCGGGTTCGGGGTTGTGTCGGTCGGAGTCGTCTCGTCGAGCCCACGCTTGGTGGAGTCCGTGTTCTCGCCCATGCTGTCGACGACGCCTTCGTGGTCTTTCTCGGTCGGCAGAGGGCAAAGCCGCACTGGCCTCAAGCGACGTCACCACAGGTGCGAGCGCCGCACCTTCCGGCATCGGGGCGTTTGCTGCCGTCACCTTGCCGCCGTTGTCGTTAGCTCCGGGAGGTTGCTTTGGTTGTTCGATGCCCGGTGGGGAGTCACTTTTGAGAGCACCTGCCGCAGGTTCGGTGTCCTCCGCTTCCATGATGAACTGGGACGGCTCGATCGTCACAGCTCTACCGGTGACGCCAGCGTACGTCCGTACGCATTCTTCTTTCTCGATGCCCGAAACGGGAGCACTCCGAGCACTTCGACACGCGACAGTCGCGCCTACTGTGCCCGGAGCGCCTGCACCGCAAGCAGACCTGCGCTCTTCCCGGGATGACGATGAGACATTCCGTCGGGCGTGGTGTTCTTCCTCAAGGTCATGCGTACGAATCGGTTGGTAGATTCAATGCCCTCAAAACCGCTGACACGCCACTTCTCGCGTCCAACTTCACGCACTTTCCCGCACGGCTCGAAAATCCTCCGAACCGCGTCGTCCGCTACGTGGAATGGCACCCAGTGGATGCGTAGGAGGATCTTGGTGGAACCAGGATCCATGACGAGGCAACGAAGACCTTTCACCTTGATCTTCTTGAGGTTCAGGAGCCGTTCTTTTGCTTCCGGTGTGCGCAGTGTCGCCAACCACACGTGATTCATCTGGAACGCACCCAGCGAAACGATGACCGGCAAGGCGGCGGTCCACTTCAGTTCCTGGCGGAAATCCTCGATGCGGTAGGGCCGTCCCTTCAGGTCACAGTGAAAAATAACAGAGTTCATAAAGGTTTCCCCGGATGGCATCGGAGGCAAAACTACCTTGTGGTCTTCAGTAGATGACGATGAAGCACCAAACACAGAAGTTCCATGCCCTTCGAGTACCGCTGTAGCCGCTCTGACGGAGCTCATGATTCTTGCGACCGGACTGCTCGAAAGCTGGAAGTAGAATCGAGCTACGTCAGGAATGCTAGTTCTGTATGTGAACTGAATATTTCCTATTCTCGCTTTCGCGCGTGCACAATTTAAATCCGCCCAGATGGTTTTAGGCGTATTAGCATTATCTGTAATCGCGCGACATCTCTCGATAATTTTAGCGCCAGCTTGATAGATGGTGTCAACTCTCTCGCTTGCATCATCTCTCGCTAATTTTATAGTCATCTCTCTGTTGAACAGAGCAGAGTGGGGAAAGAAATGGAACGGAGTGTAGCCGCACTCATACGCTAAAGATGAGACAGATATGGGCGTTCGCTCTAGAAACACGCAGAGATATAAATACAGGTGTGGCATTCAATTTTTTTTCGCTGTACGCAACAAAGACATTATTGGAAACACTTTACACAAAAATGTACAACACAAGCAGATTCAAGACATATCCGAAGAAAAAAAAAAGTTGTGAAATGACATTTCACGAACAACGCGCGATACAGTACAAAAATGTTTACAAGAGGGGTGTGTGCGATGGAGGAGAGAGATTGCTCGCTTCCGAAAACGCTTTTATGCCCAAAAGGAAACGTCATAATCCCGTCGCGGCAAATGTATCGCTCGTTGTCAAACAAATTCAGAGCAATTTTTTCGACCGAGATGTTTTTTTTTGTTTTTTTTCTCGTTACGTTTTCGAGCAATCAAGTGCTGCGTCACTCCATGCGAAGTTTTCGACCCTAGAGCGTGCTTGTACAGAGTAAGTCACTTGCGAGACTCGCACAATTTACTCCCTTGGCTCTTACGCAACACGTGTTGCTGCTTCTTTTGAAGCTGCATTATAGCTTTTGTCTTAAACAACAAAACGCCAGTAAGTGGGTAGACGGATATTCACATTTAACACACCGAAGTTCATTTTGTTTTCGGTTGAAAAGAGCTTGCGACTCTCTGGATATTCAGAGGTATCCAAGCTTCCGTCTCGGAGTTGGAGGAGTTTGTCGTCTGCATCATTTGTGAAGGTGTAGGAAGAAGGAATCCGTGTCGCAGTAAAGAGCCCTTGCTAAGGGGATCGCACTACGAAGTTGATTATAAACGAAGTCGTACATTACTGTTTTTGATATCTCAAGAATTGAGAACCCTGCGTAGAGTGGTTGCTTGAGTTTGATCATGCTCGGAGCGAACTGGAAAGTTACAACCTGCGAGCTCAGTGCTCGAAAGTGCATCATGTTCGGCTTCTGAAGCATTTCCAGTATGTTGTCCTCTTTAACGCACAGTTTAATGCCTCCATGTTTGCGTGCATTCTCGATCGTTTTGCCATACCGTATATGCTATTCATGAACAGTTTGGAAAGATTCTTCTGGAAGGAGTTGGTAGCTTGCTCTCTAAGCTGGTGGTTAAAATCAGTTAGTTCCTTCAAGAGCGTTCGCTGCGAGAATTTGAGAACTTGGTGAATCTTGGTGACCTCTAGTCCTAAGTGGGTCTACAGATTCGAATTCCGATAATGCAAAACGTACTTAGTTTTGTCGTGAAGTGTCAGCAACAGCTTCTTAGTGTATTCCTTTTGGGCATTTCAAACTTGTCAATCAGACTTGTTTGATAGTCGGATAACCACTCGTAGGAAACGCTTTGTTTCACCGGGGCCAAAGGAAAGTCAGAATGAGTACCGTCCAAGTTGTGAGTATATCTGAGATCCACCTCCAGAATGTAGCCCGTCGGAGCGTCATCTGGAACTTCATCAATGTTCAGGCAGGCAATCTCGTCTTCCATCATCCACTCAAAGTCCGACACTGGCAGGGCTTCTCTCATTGTTGTCGCAAACAGATCGTTCACGGCCAAGTCTAAAATCTGAGACGGTTCTGGCTGCGGGTTAAACGTATCCGTTCCCGGAACATTTGCGACAGCATGGCGGGTCGTACATTGGGCAATCCCTACGCGAATACCCTGTTCTATCATGAGATAGGTGTCAGGATCGTGCATTAGCTACAGTCTTACTCGCGACTGTTTCAGCGCACACGACAAGCTTAGGGACGGTAACGATACGATATGCAAAGCCTCAATTTTGTACGTTTCCAGCGTCCACAGTCTAAAGTTTTGGAAAACATCGCTCAGTAGGAGGCAGTCCGTCTTTAGGTAAACGTCGCTGTATTCTCCGAGGTTCTTCAAACTAAATGTACCAAAAACGACCTGTGCATGTTCGTAGTCCTCTTCAGACACCCCGCCCCCAGTCAACTTGTTAAAAAAAAAAGCCTCTCGCGGCGGGAGGCTCTGCCCCTCGTAACTCTCAAAGCTTGTAATGAAATTATAACAAAACACTCCTCTGTGGGCAAGGAGGTCGACGTGCTCGGGAAAGGACTACCTAAGGCAACAAAACTGTTCTGTGCCCTTAGAGTGGAGGTTTTGCCCGAGCGTCTCCAGGCTTGCATTAAGAAATCCGAGCCTGTCTATGAAGCGAAGGGTGCCTATCTCTAACCATTTAAAATTCTGGCACGTGCTTTCGATTACGTCAAAATCCTATGACTCGAACAAATTCAGATTTGTTCCAGTGCTAAGGCGACCTCGACACATGCTAAGGCATCTGGTCGTGGTCGCGAGTTTTAATTTTCTTGCTAAAGATTTTGTAGCAAATGCCCCAGCGGGAAGAGTCAGCGTGGGAAGCCTCGTTCTCTTGAATCATTTCAAGAGGCAATTCACTCGATCTAATCAATCGGGGTATTTCCTTCGCTAGAAAGTTGAGGATCAAAATGAACCTTTCTACGCAGTCAGGTCCGCGATAGAGGTATTCCTCAACAATGGACGAGTCGTTTGAGCGGATGACGAGAAGACAGAAAGAGCTGGGACGTGATTGTCCTGAACATCGACTGAGTCGGTTCCAGAATCGCTTCAAAATCGTAAACGCAATGAAAGGGAAACTCTTCCATGACATGCGCGCTCCGAAAGTACAGTTCGTCATCTTTGTTTGAAAAGATGGTTTTGCCCGGATTCTTGTCCCTGCACATTGAGAGATGGTCAGACAGGGTTTCTTGCCTCCTAAACCCGGTCAGACACCTCTTACAACGAAAGCGTAGGATGTTGGCATTGGAAAAAGTCTCGCAAAGTTTGTAATGCCTACAAAATGGTTCTCAAGAAGGAGAAAATCGACATGCTGCTCCAACTCGTCGTTAACTACCTTCAGTGGGTAGACAAAATTTTTCTCGATGCCATAACCAAACACGTTCACTGAGACCAATTTTTTCCGCTCAAAGGCGTTAATCTCCTGTGGAAAGGTTACATGGAACGCTTTCGGAAACATATACTGGCACATATGTTCACGATACGAGGATGCTCTTCCTCTGTAAAACCCGCTCGCAGGATGCAAAACGGCGAGCACCTCAAACACAAAGCACATGTCCCGTTCAGATTCGTGAAGACGCTCACGGACACTGACGAGGCACTGCTTAGAGGCAAGTTGCTTGGGCAGAGTGAAATTTTCGCAACCAATGGTCGGAGGAAGGAAATGTCCCAAACTAATAGTACAAACTTTTATCCCTACAAAAAAGAATGCCGAGCATTGTTCCTGATAATAGTGAGTTTTAGCATTGCGTATACGAGCGAACGCAAGCCCTGTGCGTTTGCGTTGGCATTGCGTGTTCCACACTGCGTGTGCGCGGAGCCCAAACTGCAGCCTTGGATTGGCGCATGGCGACTTCGTGTATGCGCAACATGGAGAACGCAACGCAAACGCTAGCGCACAGCGCTTGCGTTTGCTCGTATACGCAATACTAAAACTCACTAATGCTCCAACCGGGCAGCTATTTCAGTGCAGAGTCGCTGAATCGAACTACTGATATCACCGTCCACAAATGCGGTTTGGACCTGACTAGTGACACTAAATAAGCTGCGCTTCAGAGTAACGACACTTGGCCATATTGTGGCTTAAAATCATGGTTGCTAGCTATTTGAAGCTTTATCTGAAATCACAGGAAACACCTTTCCGTCCTCCACAAATGTTTAAAGAGTTCGTGACAAAGCAAAGCAATATTACATCTTCCTAACACATAATCTAATGCTGGGGAAGTAGCACTTTTGAATCATAACGATCGGTAGTTGTGTCCGCTCTGCGCAAGCACCAAAACGGCGGCCCCCACAACAATGTCGGGGAACGAAGTGACGATACTCTAAGCGCAGCTCATTTACTATACAAAAGTGCACAGTCACACCAATGCTGTCGTCAGGAAGGAGACGTCCGAACTTGACAGTGAGTGTCCAAAAAAAAAAAAAAACGCAGCGGTAGACATATGGGAAATTACATCTCGCGAGCAACGCGATACAGTCCAAAAATATTTACAAGGTCAGGGCGTGAGAACAGGAGAGAGATTGCTCGCTTCCGCAGCGCAGCTTTGTGGGGGATTCTCTCCAGCCTGGACCGACAGATGGCATACCGAAAACTGTAAAGAAAAGCCAATAGGGCGAGCAAGTTAATCAGCTTTTTTATCCTCCGAACGCGTTGACATTTTTTAGTCCTTTTTTGACCAATGTCAGCGACCGCTTTTTTGTCAAGTCATTCTTTATGTTCTACTACTTTTGCATGCGCGGAAGACACGTTTTGGTACAACTTCATGCCGTCATACACGGATTTCTCACCGATGAGAAGGTCACACATAGTACCAAATGTTATTCACTGTCCACATAGCTATCCTCCACACCGCTATCGTCACCTGAAAAAAAAAAAAAAAAGAAAGAAAGTGACACGGTGATGAAGTCATCAAGCTGTAGATACGTGACTCACCAGTCCGCACTGGTAACAGGTGTTCAGCCGCTATGACATGATCCCGCAGAAATTCTCGCGCCTCCTGAGTTGCCTTGGCCGCCTCGCGATGCTGAAACAAAATGTCTTATTAGGAAGGAAAACGCGAGGCTTTTAGTCTGCTCACCTTGTAGCGCGAAGATTATGAGAAAAACGATGCGAAGCAGTTTCATAGAATCCCAAAGCTGTAGGCCCTGGGAGTCATATGCTGCGCAATCGCAGTAGACGTTTAACTCGCAAGGCTTAACGCAGATTTTCCTCTAAGCAATGGCTGTAGGATGCGCACGTCCGACGACGCTGCCAGTAACCAACTAAAACAAGACGGTGGGCGGAAAGAAGCAAAAACCAGTCAAACCGCTTCAAGGTCGCTCTCTCGAGGAGACCGCGCGCGCGCTAGAAATGTCTCATCGAAGCAACTAGTTGAGACGTGTCTGCGCCTCGTCTCGTCTTGAAATCAAGACACGATGCAAATACACACAAAAAAAAAAAAAAGAAATAAAACTCCAAGTCTTGCAACTTCTGATGCCTGGTGGGAACACCATATTGGCCACCGGCCGAGTTAACCCGTATCGCCTGACAACGGTACAACCGACTACGAGGTAATCCTTTCCCATTTTCCAACCGGCAACCTGACTTTAACTCCGCATTCCTTCATGCCGACATAATTGCTGGGCCTTGCTTAGCGCCAGACTCTCGCGATGCCCTCAAAGACGTAATAGATCTCCGAGACGTTGAGGCAACCGGACAATACCAGATGAGTCACATTTGGATAATCACCTGCACGAACCCGCTCGCGAAAGAGAAGCTATGTCAACGAAAAGAACTTTTCGTGAAAGGACGAAAATGTTTGGTTATAGACCGAGACACTCGCGACATAAAAATAAAAATCATTTGGCTACCAGACCATCTTGAAGGTCAACGTGTCGCTGAGGCCTTGCATGCCTACCGTGTGGAGCATGAGCCGGGAGAAATGGAGATGCGCCGGCATGGAACATATGGACACTTTAAATGGGTGGTTTCATCTCAACTCAGGCACAGATTTGGGGTCAAATTTCTAATTTTGACGAAAAAATATATGTCTTGGGGAAAACCCTTCTGTGAGAAGCAGTGCAAACCGCAAGTTCGGGGGTTTTTGTTCTCGAGGTATTGACATTTTAAGCAGCCGAGGTGCAAGCTGACCTTTTTCTCGCCTGTCAGAGTTGTCAAGCTTCGCTCCTTTCTACTTCTTGCCTTTTTTTGGTAATGCAATGTAACTTTTTTCGGCCACTCTCAGAATAGGGGTTATTTATGGTCAATAATTTTATTATGATTATTTATCTTAGCTTTTGTTTTAAATAATGTCAAAGTGTGTCCCTTTGACAATATTTGTCAAAGTTCGACCAGCTCTTCCGCGTGACCTATTTGAGATATCGTAACATATTTAGTATTTCTTAGAAAGCTAAGAGTATACTCTTTCTATTAATAACAAGTTTAACGTTGTGTGTAAAAGAGAAAGGGCAGTGTATACTCGTAAAGAAAGGACTATTTAAAAAGTTTTGCAAATTGGAGGTCGATTTTCTTAAAAACCCCACCTTTTATTTGGCTGTTTTTTTTTCTCTAGCTAGCTATTGCAGTGCTTTATAAGCTAATATAAATAAAAAAAGGTAATATTGTGTTTGTATGGCAGCTATAAAAGCTTGAAATCTGATTTTGTTTGACTGTTTTGTCAGTAAATCAACTTACTCGCAAAAACACAGTAATTCAGAATTGGCGCCTCTTATTTTTAATAGATACCTGCGAATGCAATTATTCTCTTATAAATTATTTTAACGCGATTATTTATATAAAATATATTTTAGAAAATTTCCCAATATATGACGTGTTTGGACGATATCTGAAGTTCACCAGCTCTTCTGTGTGGCTTATATGAGGTGTCTTAGCATATTTAGTATTTTAAAAAAGTTTAGAGTATACTCCTAATTATAGCAAATTTTATGTTCTGTGTAAAAAAAGAAAAGGCACTATTTTCTCGTAAAGCAAGGACTATTTTAAAAACAAATTGCGAATTAGAGGTTGATTTTCTAAAAAGCCTACCTTTATTTGACTAATCGGTTTTCTCTAGCTACATATTGCAGTGCTTTATAAAGTAAAACAAACAGAAAATGTAATACTATGTTTGTATGGCGGCCATGAAAGCTTACATTTTGGTTTTTGTTCTCTTGTCGCCCAGTAATTTAAGTGACTCACAAAAATACACTAACTCATAATTAACTCCTCTGAAATTTTTAGTAGCTACCTCTACATTTTTTTAATAAAGGAAGATGCAAACAGTGAATTATGTTAATAAAGAGCCTAGGTTATAATATCTTTAATGTTTTTTGTTTTGTTTTCTAATTCTCAAAACGCCTCTCTGCAACAATATTTGACGAAGTTCAGCAAGCTGTGCTGTGTGACCTAATAAGTATATTTTTATGATGTTTTCATCACCTTAGAGCTCCAATTAAGCTCTTTCTTTTGAGCATAATTTGTATAGTTTGCGATAAACATATGACGCGGAACATTTGCGTGGAAAACGAATATTTAGAAAAACTTGCAAGTTTGGAGCCGATTTTCTTAAAAAGCCTACCTTTTATTTCTTTTATTTTTTATTCACAGTTAGGTAATATAGTAGTCTATCAGGAACTACCAACAGAAATTGTAATATATTATTTTTACGGCCGCTTTTAGGACTAGAATCTCGTGCTTTGAGAGTTTTGAACGGGACTTCGCATAGACGCTCAGCTGAGCAGAATTTTGACGTATGTAAGGTTTTCTATTTCTAAACAGACATTGTTTGCATACAAGAAACCAAAATGGAGAACGATAACGACATTGAACGAGCTCTGAGGCCTTTTCTTCACCGATACGAGGTGTGTGTGAGCCACGCGGTAAACTTCTCCGCAGACTGTTTTTTTTTTTTTTTTTTTTTTTCTTTTGAAGACTGTGCAATTCCAAGGACTAAGTATAGTAACCGTCAGTCAAGGGCGGTTGATAGTGTGCGACTTCACCTTGCATAACTTCGAGTGGCGGATACTGTGTATGTATGTCCCAAATCGGGTTGATATAAGAGATCTTTTTTTCGCGAGCTTGCAGACGTTCCTGCAGTGTGAGAAAGTCGTTTTGCTCGCAGGAGCATGGCTGCGTATGCATTAGTGAAGATGGTACGCCGCCTAGACTGCACACAGATAGGAGCGTGAAAAGTTTGAAGAATAAACTGAACGAATGCAGCTTAGAAGATGTCGCGCAACTCATGGGGTTAAAAGTTAATTTTCGTTATACTCATTTTCAGTCATCGTTTCAGGCTCGTTTGGATCGCATTTATGTGTCAATTGAAGCTGTAAGTGAGGTAATTGACTACAATGTGAAGCTAGTATTTTTCAGTGACCACAGCTTAGTGACAGTTGCTTTGGGAAATACACGCAACCTAGAAATAAGTTTAATTGGGAACTGTGGAAAATTAATGTTAAACTGCTCAAAGATTATATTTTCGTTGAGCGTGTTACACAGGTCTTAGAAACATTATCATTGAGGACACAGCTCACCACAGCCAGAGAACTGGTGGAAGTGTTTTACATAAAGAAGGGACGTAACCTGGGGGTGTTAGCGCGCTTTTTTTTGTTTGAGGGTGAAGTCCAGTTTTTGTCTCGGTTGCTGGTGTGATAATGACTATCGGGAAATGTGTCTTGATGTGTGTGTGTTTTGTTTTTTTTTCCTTTTTTTCTTTTGTGTAGCGTGCTGCGCATGCCCTTTCTGGATGTTCGTGGTTGATTAAGCCCAAATAAAGTAGTTGAAAGTTGCACTTGTCCGTGTCTACTCCCTTGTGATTGTCCCCTGTGTCGCACAAAAACTTCTAGACTGTAGCTTGAACCAACTGGGCCAACAAGAAGTTTTAATAGGTAATGGGGCCATGGGCGTGGGAAGGGGGCGTAGGAACGTGACGTCATGGTCACGTAGGAGAATGCTACACCATTGAACCGAGGCGCGTGCTGAGTATGTGCGCTGAATTTGTTAACGTCTGTGTGCGGGACCATAATTTGTTTATTTCCGGTTCAATCGTGTCCCATATAACACTACTAAATACGTCCCTCAGCTAAATGATTTCCCTGAAACACCTCCGTTATATGCAGATCCACTGCACCACAGAACTGATAAATCGTAAGGATAAACTGCCACCAGCTCGCCTGTGCTCTGTATGTATATTCGTAGACTTGGTGTCCACTAAAAATAGTACTACTAAGACGCGTACTCTGGTCTCGAGCTGTCAGGAGAATAATTCAACAAAGCTTAAGGTATTTCATGAGTGTTGCTTACAAAGCAGCTAATTTATTTTTCATGTATTTTATTTTTGAGTTTCAGTAAATTTATTTATGAAAAAAGTATACGAGTAAAACGGCTGTCTTGCACTACGACACAAACTTCGCAGGAATACGTCTGCTTCATCACGTTCGCGCAACAGCTAAAAGAGCACTATCCAGGCTGAAACTGCACTTGTCACCTGTGAGGCAATTAGTTTCACTACACTGTTTAAGTGTAAAAGGAGCAAGCACAACAAACATAAACTGAAGAAAACTTAAGTGTAATCGTAAGTCAGATTTTAGCACAGCGCTGACGAAAACT